AAATAAAGGGAAAACAAAAAGTGAAAAGAGAAAAAAAACAAATTAGTAAGTGGGAAAGCAAGTTTTGACACCACCATCTTTGCCGATTTTTTATTATTGTTTGGCTCCACAGAATGACTCCAAAATTGATAGACAGGTAGCTTATATAACAGAGAACTCACAAAAAAAAAATCAGAAAAAAATAATAATTTTTAGGTACCAAAATATTTTTTTGCGGGGCACGAACCCCTTCGAGTTCGGTTCCCGTACAGGAACCCGAACGCCCGAACGTTTGGGGGTCAGCTTAGGGGCCTCCGTACGTTCGGCCTGGCAACTCTGCTTGGATCTATATTTCAACAGTTTGTGGGTGTGTCAACTGAGCTGGGCCCATTGGCATACATACTAGGATGTGATGTGTAGCTTTATCAATCACCGCTACCCGACTTCTGAGCAAACCCCCTCAACGAGAAGCAGAGAAGATCAAATTCAAAGTGAAAGTCCTAAATCATGCTGACCTGGCCTGACCACCTTTTTTTTTTTTTTTTTTTTGAATCATGCTGATATTGTTTCATATGGTCTATTTATACCATACATGCGGCGCATCACGTGCGAGCAAGTTGCGCATGTGCGCCGCACAGCGCATGCGCACACGTGCGGCGCATTTAGAAAATAATATTTTGAACTAGGAATATTCTCATGACCGGCCGGTCTGGACCAGCCAGTCACCCGGGCATGACGCCCGGGTGACCCGGTCATGGCAAAAAAAAAAGAAAAAAAAAAAAAAGAAAAAAAAAAAGGCGGTGGCGTTTTTCCGCGCTCTCCGAGAGGAGTCCAAATCCGGGCTCGTTTCTTTTTTTGAGTGTTGGCTGTCAAGGGGGGGAAAGGGGAGTGTAAATGAATTTTAAAGGGGCTAAAGGGGTTTAGAGGGGGGTGCCTTAGTGTGATATGGTTATTTTCTTTTTTATCTTTAGTTCTGTGCGGAATTCTGATGTGACCCTGAGCCGAAAGTTGTTTGTATTGCAATTCTACACAACATTTTTTTTTTCCAGATTTTTTTGGATTTGAACTATTTTTTTATTTTTATTTTTTTGCGCTGAGGCTGCCCGGGGCCATGCCCGGGGGTCATGCCCGACTGGTCACCCGGTCGCCAATCCGGGCGTGACATCGGGACCCGGGCGCCCGGGATATCTCCCTTGATTTTGAAGAAAAATCAGAAAGGGTAGGTCATGGTACCCATAAGTGTCCCTCCCTTTTAAAAAGGGTAAGTGCAAAGAAAGAGAATATCTTGGGGCCTCTTCGTACTACTCATTGGTTATATTCTCCTTTCCAAAAACTACCCTGCAAGTAATTAGCAGGGTTTCCGTGCTTTTGGAAGGGTGTCCATTGGACTGCTGGAAGACCTCAAGTAGGCCAGCAATATATCCTGGATTCGGACTCAGGTCTGTGTTCCAAGAGTTATGGGTTACAAACTTACTACAAACATTCCAGTAGTTATCTCGTTCCCCCCCCCCCCTTTCTACGTGCAGTGGCCCTATTAGTAAGGGCCTCGCTCCACTCATCAGCACTTGCAGAAAAGGAAAACGGATGGCTAGTATGGTTCCAGTTTCTAGGAGAAGATTCATTCTAGTTTTGCACATACAGTAGCTGTCTCGTTTTTTTGTTTTTCCTTTTCTTACGTGCGCGCAGTGGCCCTAAGGGCCTCGCTCCACTCATCAGCACTTGCAGAAAGGAAAAATGTAGGGCTTGTATGGATCCAGTTTCTAGGGGAAGATTCATTCTAGTTTTGCACATTTGGTGAGTAGTGGAGTGAAGCCCTGAAAATCACAAGCCAAGTTAGTAAGCCAGTAACCATAACTGCTGAAACCCTAAACCTGAATTTGAATCTACACCATATATAGCTGGCCTGCTCCCTCCTTAGTACAAGTCCAGTGACAACCCGTCCAATGACCACCCCGCTCCTGCTGATGGGACCCTTGCCAATTTTTGGCAGGGACCTTTTGAAGTACCAGCAGGGGTTGTCTGAATAATGTGAAAG